TTCACATTTTATATCGCCTATCCAGTGTATATATATGTAAGGTAGTTAATTCTCTGCTGATTCTTTGGCTTTATGGAAAGCAGCCTTCTCCAAGGGTTCCTACCCCATAAGGATTATATCTCTTTCTTTTTTTTTTCTGAACTTGTCTAGTAGACTACATGTAACTAGATTAAATGAAGAACTTGAACTTGCTAAGACTCTCCTAAAAAGAAAGTTTTGGCTAGTGGAACAGTAGAGTAAATGGGAAATTGCTCTGTTGCCTTTAGCCCTGGAGTGCATAGGAAAAAATTCCCTTGGGGGGAAAAAGTAACAGGTTGGGTCCCCGGAGAGCACAGGAAGTGAAAAGGAGAAGAGGGAAATTAATATTTATCTCCTGAACAATAATAAACAAATTCCTGCCCTGTGACCTGACTGGAGTTGTGTATGAGTAAGAAAGGGCTTGTGTTATGGAAAGGACTTTATTTCTGTCATCTCTAGAGGCCACCTTCTCTGGAAGCAGAAAGGCTGGAGAAACAAGATATATTTTTGGTTTTGGGGGAGCAGAGTTGCCACTTCACAGCATCAGCAAGTAAGTTAAGATCTCAGAAGAAAATGAATATTTATTTACAGTAACTTAATTGTTACTGCAGGACATACAAGTCCTAATAGACATGTTCTACTGTAGCAGTATATTCAAGACCTAGGCATCCAAGGGAAGTGACAGGAGTATGCTGCAAGACCATGAATCATGGCTTGTGTCTGTAAAGACCTTGATGAGGGCAGAAGGGAGTTTGAGCTGTGGCAGTAGAGGAAATCCTTTGGACTCAGCAGATCAAATCTCCTCTTGAGTAATACCCTACACTGTATATGTGATATGGAGACGGCTTATTTTTCATGTAGGATTTATACAAAAGTTCTGGATCCATGTTGAGTATCTGGAAATCTGGATTTCCTACTTTCAAAAACCAAGTTAAATTCAAAACCACCTCTGTTGAATCTTTGGATAAAGTAAATTGGAGAAAGAGAAAATTCTTTCTTGCATGGAATCAAGAAACACAAGTTCCACATGAACAGCAAGTGACTTTCAGCCTTTGACCTCAGGGTCTCCTGACAAGACTGCAAGTAATTGAAAACAGAATAAAATACTACAGCAATCTTGAATCCTGATGTATGTTGCAATAATTTAATATTTAACATTTACACCTTTAGATGCCTTTTTTTTTTTTTTGTCCTCTCTAAAGGATGATCCTCTTAGAAATGTTTTTAATCCCAGCCAACTAGATAAGAGATCTGGATAATGGGATTCCCTGGAATGCAAGCAAGAAAGAATCCTTAGCAGTGTGAACTCCAAATGTTTGTTGGTCTCTCCCTACCGCAATGGCAGAGCTGCTTGTCACTAGAGCTGAGCTTCCAAAGAGTGGACCTTCAGAACCTGCAGCTAGCATTGGATGCAATCTGAATATATTGCAGCATCCAGATGTGTCACGTGTCCCCACTGCTCAGCTTGGAGCTAGGAGCCTCAAGGAGAGGGTCTAGCATCGTGGCTGAAAGCTTTGTCAGATTTGGAAGTGCTGTGAATCAGGTGGATGGACGTAAAGCTGGTGATTTTTCACAGAAGCTTTTCTGTACGGAGTGGAAATAAGCCTTCCCTTGTGATACTGAGTTTTCATTTATTTTGGCAATAGTTAGGGAATGGAGAGTATGGTGCTGGGGTGGAAACTGTGGTAGCAAAGCAAGGTATTCACCCACTGGATACCCATAGGTGTTGTGGAGAATATACCTTTGCCCAGATAATACAGGGATGGGTAGTTTCCTTTGAATTCTTTTAGGAGTAATTGTGGTATTTATTTCTGCAAATTAATATTGCATTCTTCTTTTCCTTAAAATTTACTTCTTTTTATGGATATAGGAGACATTGAGATGAAATTGTGTAGTTTTTTTTTTTTTTTCACAAGTATCAGCAGGTGTCCTTAAAGAGATTGCCACAGCAATTTAATAATAGACATGCAAGAATGTGTAACCACTGATGAATGCTACCCAAAAAAATTCCTTCTGCAGTTCTGTTCTGACCCTCTTTTTTCACTCTTCCTTCAGTGAGATCCTTTTACTATAATACCTTCAAAAGTTGTGGGAGGTGGTAAAAAGGTTGTTTGTTAGGTGAATCCTCAATTCAAACCACTCTTCAAATTGCTTATATAGCGTGAATTTGCTAGAAAGCCCAGTCATGGCTGTGAGACCTGGGGTACTATGTACAGCAGGAATCCTGAGAAGAAAACTTGCCACTTTACTTGGGGAGTATACAGACAATATACACCATACAGTTGGCATGGTGAAGCCTGTGGTCCCAGCAGCTGCTCAACCTTGAACAGTTTTAGATGATAATGATGTATGTAACTCTGTGTATCGGGAACAATACAAATTTTATTCACTACAGCACCTTTGTCTAAGGAAACTGATTTTTGAATCTATTGGCATTAATGTATTCTCCTTCATGCACACAAGGGAGTGTACCATCCTGAGCTACATTTTATCTGGATTATTTTTGTCTTGGATATTGGCTCAAGGCTCCTCGTAGCAGACCTGTGGAGCATCCTTCATGCACACAAGGGAGTGTACCATCCTGAGCTACATCTTATCTGGATTATTTTTGTCTTGGATATTGACTCAAGGCTCCTCGTAGCTGCTCCACAGGTCTGCTAGACATGTACTGCTCCAGTTAAAAACTGCTATAGCTCTGAATCTAATCATCCCTTTCTGTGCATGAGAACTTGAGGCTCACCTCCCAAAAAAAGCTATGAGGAAAGTACATTAATTAAAGGCCTTCTCATTTTATATTATGTTTTAGGAAACATTAATATACATCATATATATATAAAAGAGAGAGAAGAGAACTTGACTTGTTTTTCTTTGTTGACTGCCAACCTGTTCCTGATCATTTATCTGTTACTTTTTACTCCATCTGCTTATCTAACAAATAAAATCCTTAATAAAATCTTAATTTGCCTTGATTGAAGGTTTTTGCTTATATTACCCCAAATAGCTGTGGCTCCTAACTGAGAGAAGATCAGAATGGAGAGGAAAAATACAAATCATAGATAACTACTTGGTGCTGCTCCTGATGCTTTTTTGGTATCCATAGTGGTTGTTCTCCTTTCCTCTCTTAGATCTGCATTTTAGGAGCACTTTTGCAGGGGGGCACATTGTATTATTCTAATATTAGCCAGGGCTGTCTGCCAGGCAAAACATGCATATTAGCTCTTAGATATTCCTGTGGCAACACATCTTGAAGTTCTTGAAGTCAGTAAAAACGCAGAACAGTTTTCTTCCGCAGAAACCTTGCGTGCTGTAAAGTGAGTGATGCTGGGGATTGCTGCAGTTTCTAGTAGATCTACCCCCAAAAAGGCAGGTGTCTGTTGTACTAGGTGACTTCCCTGGGTTTTCATGGGGAGAAGACAGCCAAAGGATCTCTTGACCCCACTGATGTCCTCACAAGTCTAACTTCTGCTGGTTTTAAAAGCTTTTGCCATCCATTTGTGGAAAATAAGGGGCCTTTTCTCAGTAGAGTCTCTGTTACTGGTTTATGAAAGGGGCAGGAGGACGCTAAAAATAGAGAGGAGCTTTGGCAAGGATTGGGTGTTTAGAGTGAAGTGACTTGCAGGGCCAGGTCCTGGTACAGATGGTTTAGGGGCTGCATCAGGACGTGAGGGGAAAGCAGCGTGCAAACAACTAAGGTGCACTTCTCTAGTATTAGCAGTAAACCTCCATGCTCATATCTCATTAGTGTTGAGGATGGTAGAGAACATGACCTTGCCCTTAAACAGTGTTTAAGGGTTACTACAGGCACAAATGGGGTTGGACAGACCCAGGTCTGACTCCGTATAAGAACTAATCATCAAAAAGTGCTGGTAGTAGGGATTTGAACCCCTGTAGCTTGCAAAAGGCTCTATCTGCCAAAACAAAAGGATATTCAGATTAAAAGAAAAGCTGTCTTTGGATCTGCAAAATAGTAATGAGAGGAGATGGGGAGGCTCAAGGAAAAAAAAAACATAGAAACAACATAGAAAGGCAAAACTGATGCTGTGAGAAAACTGCATTAGCATGAAGTAATTACGGGAACGGCTGACAGCGGATAGTGATACTGCCTTGGTTTGGTGGTGGCTGTGCTTGCAGAGAAGCTGTTGATAGCAAAGGGGGCAGGACTCTTTCAGCTGCATGCTGAAAATCTCCTAACTCAGACAGGAGATTTCAGCAGGTTGTGTAGACTTGGAGGTATTTTGAAGTCTAAAATGAATGAAAAACCTCAGGCTTTATTCAAGCATATCTACAAGCATGTCAGCTTCCCTAGAGTAAATGAGGTTAATGCTGGGCTGCTAATCAAGCGTTCTGAAAGCAATCACAATGTATAATTGAGAATTGGACCTTGCTGCCTATCTTCAATTATTTTTTTTTTATTTTAATAAATGTTAACTAGGTAAAATAAAGATATCGCCTCAATGGCTTCTAGTTAATTTCCTTTGTTTGAAAAAGGATGGAGTTACATTAAAAAAAAAAAAATCCCTCCTCCTCTGTGTTTATGCATCTAGTGTTTAAAAACAATGCCAAAGTAGTTTATTAATTATGTTGCCCAGAATGTCTAAGAAGAGTACATTGCTAGTTCAGAGCAAATGTTATGTTTCAGGTTTTCCTGTGACAAAGATATAAAAAGTTTGATTATTTTTATTTTTTTTTTTAAATCTCAGTATTTGCTTCCCAAATTGCTGGTTAGTTAATCATTCATATTTCTGTGCTAAATATGAGAATGCTTGGCTTATAAAATGATTCAATCATGTAAGAGCTTTAACTGCAGTGAACGACAAATTCAGAAGCTTGTTATGTCAGAAAGGAGGAGGAGGAACTTCTGTTTAGGTCTTGCCTTCACAGGGAAAGGAAACACTGATAGTATCCGTGTAATCTTGCACTGATGAGCTGGCATCACGTTGCTTTGAAAAGATTCATATTTGAAATGTGATCACTAAGTGGTGGTGGGCACAGCTGCTTTAGAATCAAGAGATAAAGGCAAGAAGGAAAACAAATCCAGAATTGCTATGTGAAAACCTTGCTGACAATGTAATGCTGTCAGAACGTTTATAAAGAGCAGAAACCCTATTCAGTGTCAATCAGGTACGTGCTATATTGAATGAAATATTTCTTATTTTAAATGTTACCAAAGCTTTGCAATTGATAACTTCGGGATTTATGAACCTCTGTAAAGTGAAATGGGGTAGTTAAATTATTGAGAATTCTTGTTTTAGTTCCAGTGCACATTTGTTCTTAAATCAGTTTGTGCAGATAAAATGATCTTTCAACAGGCTTGTTTTAAAAATTCTTCGAGCATTCAGAGAAAATTGTGGAAGTTTGCTGTTATCTTAGTACTTTGGCTTAAGAATCTAATTAGAGTAGGATTGCTGCACTAAAAGCAGAAGGAGTACTTTTGAACATAACTTAGGAGTTTGGGGTTTTTAAGGTTTTTGGACAACTGCACAAATGAATATGCTAATAAAGGCTAAAAGCCACTTCTTAGCATCATAGTATTTTTTAGGACCTGATCCTAATTGAAATTTTTGAAAGTTTCCTCATTTACTTGCTTGGACTGTGGATCAGGCTTTTCAAATTCCAGGTCTCATACTGATAAATGTCTCAGGTTTTGTTCTTACAGTTGCTGTGTCTACCTAAGTAGTTTTCCCATATTAAAGTCAATGATACAGGTTTACATTCTTTTAATGAGAACTTCAGTTTTTTCAAGGATCTTCCTTATTAGATGAAAAGATACAAGCCTGTTTCTTACATGTGCTTTTGGAAATGCTACAAGGTATATTTAACAATAACTGAAGACTGGACAGCACCCAGCATCAGACCCATCAGAACCCATCTGCCTGATTGCTAGTAAAGACTTCTGGCTAGCACTGAAAAGAATGATCTGGTCTCCTTGAAGGTATACATTTCAATCTGGAGAAAGGATGGGAGAAACTACAAATTATACATGTTAGACCTTGCAGTACTTGATAAATGTGCTGTTTATTTTTGGGAAAGGGTTCAGCCTTGTCATATGGAGAATACTGCAAAATTACCATTTATGTGCAGAGAAAGTTTTGATGTGTCTATGAGTTGTATGAGAAACCACTTTTGAACAAAAAGTCATTTAGCATTTGATTCTGATGTGCTGAGTATTACCAGCAATCTGTGTCTTCATCCCTGTCCTTGAGATTCCCTGCTCATTTGCTATCTTCCCAAGAGGGGGAGAAAACTAAGACCAAAGTATGGTGCCTTTAGGGAAGCAATAAATACATTTTGTATTTCTAATTAAAGCTTTAGAACTTTTATTTGCTATTTCAGAACTTTATCAAAATTCCTCTTTATGTTTGTGAACAAAGTTTAAACATAGAATCACCCCTCTGTCGCTATCCTGCTTTTTGCTTTTTTTTCTTGGCTTTTCTATATCTTTTTTAAATAAGATGTCACTTAATTTTGCAGACACAGTGACTGTAACACAGGGTTAGAGGAAAACAACTGTAGTGTCTCCATTCTCAGGCTGGTGGCTCTGTGTGTGTGTGTGAACAGTTCAGCTTCCTCAGCCTTTCAAAGGAAAAATAACAATGAAAATCTTACACCTGAAAGTACGGACTAAATCTAATGCTGCTTTACACTTGCTCTCTTAAGTGCCCTAAATTACAATAATTAGTTAATGGAGCTTCAAGTGTTGCTGGAGAAAGTGGAATCACAAAAAATATTTTATATCCTAGTAGTTTGTTAGTTGGTAACGTGACAAACTTGAAATATCATAGGAAGAAAATACCCACAGTTTTAGGGATGCTCTTAAAATGTTGCAATTGCAGAATTGCCTTTAATAAATCGGCCACTGTGAGTGTCTATGATGATATTCTGATAAAGAATGGATTAAAATATATTAATTAAAACCACTATAAAGTCATGTTAGTATACGATCTTAAATACACTTAGTTTTCATTCAGGTTCTTGAGTATTGACTTAAAGGGACAAGTAGTGAAGAACTTGCACTGATTCAGGGGGCTGAACAGATGTTATATCCACTGTATTATTGTGCTCTTCTTCAGTTATCTGCAACATGCTTTTGCTAGCAGCAAGAAATATTCACATAGAAGATTTCGTTCCAGAGACAGGAAATATAAAGCTCAGAGAATAATTTCTCAGATTTGATTTTAATAAGACTAGGAGAACATTCAAGTTTTCTCTAAATTAATATATTACACAAACGTCCACCTGTGTGAATCAAGAACAAAATTCTGGCTAACTCAGTTGAGACAGGGTTTTACTCACAGTTTTTCATCTCCAGGTTAATGACGAGACAAATCTAGAACAGCTTTTTTGTTTAAGGGACTTCAACGTATACAGAAACTTTTGTTACCTGTGGATGATGTTAAACATATCTGTTCTGGGAATTCGTGCAGTGTTATAACAGTGTTTCATAGCTTGAACAGCGAGAATAAGCAATACCTTGGTTTCTGTGTTACTTCAGTGAAGGAATGATGGTGAGGGAAAAGTTACAGTGTAATTTCTGATTTTTCAGGCAGTTGTAAGTCATCAAAATAACTACATTGCAAAAGCTTTTTTTTTTTAAGAAGTTAGAATAAAATTGCAGGGGAAAATATTTAGTCTTGAATTTTCTGTCCATGTGAAGATGCATAGCAAAATGACTACAAGTGGAATGGTACTTTACATAAATTCCAATAAGGAAACAAATTGTCTTATAGCTAAAAGCAGAAAACCAGCTAAAACCGTACTGCATTTCTTATGCATTCATACATAGATTTCGTTTCTATCCAATTACAGAAAAAGGTTGTTTATTCAAGTTTTATGACTAAAAAGAGGACAAAAAGGTTGCGTTGTGCAGTAAAAGGCAAGGCAACCGTGTATGGGGGAAGGCAGCCCCGTGTGTATGGAGTGTGTTGTTTGGACACTGAGTAGAGCAAGATGCAAACTGGACACTCCTTGCTGTCATGGTCACACAAATGAAGCCAGTCTCTCAGCATAAATAATTTGTGTAGTAAAGAAGCTGCCTGGAAAAAAACACGGTAAAAAAGTTGGTTTCATTTGGGGGAGGAGAGAGTGGAATAAGGGATATTGCACATTGGTCTGTGACAGAAAAAAGTCTGCTGCTTTTTCTCCACTCCTCAGGTCAGGTAGATGTGAAAAAATGATCCCCTGACAGCATGTTTGCCATGAAGATTTTCTTATTCCAAAGACAACTATGGTTATCAGCCTCATAAAGCAAGAGGTCGTCTGAGGAGCTGGAGGCATGGCATGCTCAAAGGAACAGCCAGTGCATCGTGGCTGTTTAGCCGGGAGAAATTAAATCCTGCGTTCACTGACACACGTACCAAACAGAAACTCCCACCCCGCATTTTGGAGCCATGGCAGGTCAGATCCTCAGGTGGCTGCAGCAAATAAAGTAGTTCATGTCATTTTGGGATATGTCCTGTTTGTCTACCCCACCTTTCTAATCTTGTTGCCTGTAGATTGCTGGGGGGGTCTAGGTTTTAGGGGCAGTTATGACCTTACGGTATTGTCTGTTGGCCAAAGGGCTCTTAATCTCATCACAGGTTGTTATGCCCAGTGATGGACAGCTGCTGCTGGGGAAAATGTCTCATCTCTGCTTTCCTCAGAAAGCAAGACAGACAGTCTCCCTCCCTGAGAGAACAGGAAGTTTCAGTTTCTGCTCTATTCCTATTGACTGATTTACTTGGTTTTCTTCACTTATTGACTTTTTTCCCCCTCCCTTTTCTCTCTTAAATGTCTGTCTGGCATGAGTGCATTGCTGCTGGCACTGCCCTGCGTGTGCCTGCTGTATATCCTCACAGACTTGCATTAGGGAACTGCTGTGGGAACAGGGAATAAATGCAGTGGTATTTTCAGTCCCCAATTTATTTAATTCTAAGATGGGAGATGCTGGATTGTTATAAGAGTAAACAGAAAGAACTTGAGTCAAAGAATCTCCGTGCATATGCCTACAGCACGCCAATAACTAAGATACAGTTATTCAGTAACCTGCCAAGCTGTGTGTAAGTCCTACTGGGCAAAAAGATGTTGTTTCTCCACATATGTTGGCCCTTTTTGAAGGCAAATTGAGTGGGGTGCTCTGTTTCTCATCAGAGTCATACGAATTGAATATGTCCCTCAATACTGGCTTTTGTGATGCCTAGAGAGGAATGAGGTGGAGGAAGGCTCCTTTATGTTCCTTCTTCACTGTCATTAAGAGAGAAATGGTGGTCGAAGAAATTCATTCCTCCTGGACCCGAGGAGCTGGTGTATTCCCTGCTGTTGGCACAGAGCTATGCTCTTATCATCAAACCAAGAATTAACTTCTCAGAATTAACTTCTTAAGCATTAGCTTAATTAATTAGCGTGTGCTGAAAGACTCATGTGGGCTTCACAGATGCTGGATACAGATGCAAATTCCAGCTCCATGAAAATCCAAGTCCCCGATAAAGACCAGCCTGTATGGCTCTTCCTTGCCCTTCCTTGCATCAAAGGGAGATAATTTTTTAATAATAAAGTTCTTTTTGGACAAGGGTGATATTCTGCGCCCTGGCTTCTGCCATGATACTGCTGTGGATTGAAGTGTGATTACAAATTCTTCTGATAGATCCATGTAATTGCTACTTCTGTAATAGTTTTAATAGATGTTTCTTTTCTAGTGGAATACGGTAAAATTTTTGCACTGAAATTCAAATATTCTTTCTGATGGAATATGTATTGAGTGTCCGTGCTGTACTTTGACGTAATGACATGGAGAGAAAAGGAGCTAAGTCTCTCAGTTTGCATTTGTATTCTTCAACAGCACAGTTGCTTTCCATTTCTGTCCTCCGGATCCTTAAGCCTATGAAATACAGTAAGATGTGCAAATCATAGAAAGCTTAAATACATTCTGAGGTCTGATAACATTTTAAGGGTCTACAAATGGAAAGGCTAAAAACCACTGCAGTCAATCTGAACTCTACTTTGAATTGAGATCTGAAAATCTTTTCCAATTGTCTGCATACCTTCTAGTGAACTAATGCCATTGCCATATGCCAGACACGTGTTTTCATGTACCATGAAGTGTTAAATGCTGGCTGTCTTTGGTCAAGACCCACAGCTCTTATCTT